AGGTGTGCGATCCTTAAGGTCCCAAGGTACCGTGTCTGATGAACCAGTGTCTTTGTATTCGGAAAATAATAATCACGTCATCCTTCACTCAAAATAACATGACGCAAATTACAGAACTACGTATTGTAGTAGTTGAACGCTTTTACGTTTTGCGTAACTGATTTCCACTGCATGATCGAACTCCATTGACGTAATAAGTCATCATTAATGAACCAAACGTAACAAGGAAAGATTACCGATCGATATATTGCTGAATATAAACAGACGAAATAAGGTTATATAAATAAAGACTTTTTACGGTTTAAAACTGTAAAGTAAAAAACTGTTTACCGGTTTAGAACGCAAAATATATTAAACTTATATTAACTACGACCCTAATTTGGATGCTTTGCGAGCAATGCTTAGTAAACTAATGTGCAATTTATGCGAGTAGGAATTAAAAACGAGAACTTTTGACGGTTTGAAACGCGTAATAAATAACTCCTTTAACCAATCCGCCACGTCAAGTCGGAATTAAAAATAAACTTGTATATGTCACGTCTTAAACTATCTATACTTATATATAAAGTTGAAGATATTGTTTGTTTGAACGCGCTATCTCAGGAACCACGGGTTCGAATTGAAAAACTATTTTTCTGTTGGTTAGAGCATTTACCGAGGAAGGCAATAAAACATCGTCCTGTAACTAACAAGAGCGAAGATACAGGGGGAAACGTGACAAAAATCGGACATTATGTGTCCGAGGCGTAAGGTGCAAAAACATTTCCAGATACCCAAAAAATATGTATTAGAGATGATTGATATGACTCCTCTTCGACGCGACCGACGTCGTACAAAATAACTATTCTACGCGGACGAAGTCGCGAGCACACCAGCTAGTTATGAATATTTACTGATCGACTACAGTGATCGTAGTTGACGTGGAAACAATTAGCTTAAATTTTATAATTTACTCCGCATTTACATATATGCATGTGATCAATAGCTATTATTAAAACTGTTAACTGTTGACCATTACAGTTTTCACTCTTCAATATCTGGGATTGTGAAACGTTTCTCCCGTGGTGAATGCGTTTGCGCACGTGCGAGACTTTGGTCACGTTTGTTTTTAAATAGTTCCATTTTAATACGTGATTTTATTGGTTATATGAAAATGACCATTGTCTTAAAATGTCATTTTAATTTGCATTTAAATGTAGAAAATTAAGTCGATGTAAGATCCTATGTAAAAGTCGACGTAAATGTGTAGGACTTGAACAGACATCCAGAAGCTTCCATGCTTTTTGCTCCAACCAATTCAGCTACTTTCAGTTCCTACACGTCATCGCCGAAGTTTTTTTTCTGCCTATTGAAACTCGCGCAATGTAATTTCAATCGTAACATGTAATGTGTAAATAGTAATGTTTTCAAATCTATGTAGAAGTTAAAAATAAACCATTTTAACAATAATACATATTGAAATAAAATATCGTCCTCCTTACTCCTGTAACCTAAGCTACGGTTTATAATACATTTTACTCGTATTTAAATTACAGACGTACTTACATTTATTTCCTCAACGCATTATATACCTTAAAGACTGTGTAATAACGTCGAAATCGTTCACCGATACAATACTTCCGCAAAACAGGCTAAGTGTAATTATTGAAACCATTACGCAACGCGATGTTGAGGAAAAAAGGAAGTAAGCGACACTTGTTTACTTTGTGATTTCACTTATAATCTAAAAATAAGTAGTGTCTGTAGTATACATGAATGGTACAGATTGAATAAAACATTTTTAACGGTTTGAAACGTACGTTACTATTTAACTGGTACTATTTAATTTTTTCTTTTAAGTTTAACCCTATGGTAACAACAAGTGCTATAGTGTCGTATAGCATACAAAATGTCAAAAGGTAGTTAATATAAATAATATATTTATATACTATCACATTTTTAACGTTATACAATGAAATAATGTCTGTCGTTTACGCGAGTAGTAAACATTAAAAAAACATTTAACGGTTTAAACACATCTGCAAAGTATACAAAACGTCGAGCCGTAGTTAAAAGTTTTTAAACAAGTTTAACTAATATTTTTCTCGTTCTAAACAGTAATAGTTCTTTATTTAAATTTTATACAACTATCGATAAAATGTACACATAAAATGTATACACGCGAAACAATTTATCTAAACAAAAATTGACTGTCTCGTAACATAATTCATCAAATGCCGTTGAGGGCCCCTTTCTGATGAGCAAACACTAAGTACTGCTATGCCTATAACTGTATTTCACACCATACGGACACCCCACAAGGTTATGGTCATTCACTTTTAACCCTTCATCATAGATCATTACTGATATATTTATTTATGCACACCGCATTGACAAGTATTGCAAACAGTTGCTGTCATTGAACTGGCCCTTTGTATTAAAAAACTGTGTTCAAAACAAGGAGTTTGAAACCATAATGCTTCATTCAAACATAACATTAACCATTAAACTGACACGAAACGAAAACACTTTAACACTGGTCTCCCCGTAACCAGGGCTGCTGCAAAGCATCCGAAACGTCGGGCCGAAGTTAAAAATCATTTTCAAATACGTTTAACTAATATATCGCGTTTTAAACCGTTAAAGTGTTTTATTAAATGTGTAGGTACTACTCACTTACCAGAAGAAATATAATTGATTTAAAACATTTGAAAACTTTATTATTTTTTACATGTTATTGCACATGAAGGCACTATATAATTTAAAAATCGAAAATAAATTGAAAAAAATTTCGACTCGGGCAGGACTTGAACCGGCATCGTCAGCGTTCCGTGCTATTGCTCTACGGAACGCTGTCGATGTCGGTTCAAGTCCTGCCTGAGTCGAAAGTGTTTTCAATTTATTGTCGATTTTTAAATGATTTAAAACATGTACCCGGTGGGGATCAACGAACCCACGAACCGTTCATTATTAGTTACATTGCTACCATTAGACCAACGAGCGTGATATGTACTTTAGGATCAATACGATGCACCTTAGTTATGACGTTTCTACCTACGACAGCTGCATAGGCGGTACGTGGCGACCGGCGAGCCACGTTTTACGTAAGCCCCACGGTCCTCGCAGTTTGTGAACATAACGATCAATTAACAAACAAACAACGTGACCGACTGTACACTGGCTTACTGGATCACACCTATAGTATTATACGTGATAAACTTACAGTATAACACTTTACGTAGCTAAGTTATTAAAGAAAACTACCCCCAGGAACATGTCTTTGTTTAAAGAGTAAACTGTTTTATTTTTTTAGAAGTTAGTTTGTAGTCTGTTTTTAGAGTTAGTCTAGTTTATTAACATGGATTCTGAAACTGGGATACCTGTCAAAAGATCTTCAACTGCATTGTAGCATATGATAGATAACCCATTAATTTTATCTATGCGAATATTATAACGCTGAAAAGTGTCTGTTCGTTAATCTCAGAAACTACTCATTCGATTTTTAAAATATATATTTGTGTTGGATAGACGATGAAGGCTGTACAATAGCGAAGAAACAGTAGGAAATGAGGAAGGCTTTGGTTGCGTGTGCTGTGAAAACGGTTCAAGAAATAATTTAAAATAATGTTCCCACGGTACATGTCTATCTTTTAAAAATAGAGCACAGACCATTATGGTAATCAAATTTCATCGAAATTATAGTATTACCACCATTATTTATATAGTATATCGAAATAATACTATTCGTTTTGCAACAACATCTGCCGGATTAGCTACACATATATTAGCCCGTGTAAATCGAGATTCCACTCCACACATAAACAAATACAACGTGACCCGACACGAGTCTTAACTCGGGCGAAACCTTCCAAGGTAATTACGAACTTTTGCTCACCGTAAAAATGTCTCTAAGAGGAATCAAAACGTGTCGCTCTACAATTTTCCGTCAATTATACTTGCCAATCGTGGGAAACGATTATTATGGAATTATTTTTCCATTTTCTTTACTTAGGTCCTTTTAAAATCGGTATCAGTACATTATGTAGTGATGTGTTCTGTGTTTTGTAAGTGAACGAAAATCTACCCTCAATTTATTTTTAATTATGGTGAAAGAATTTATTTTAGGAATTGAAGACGTATTTATTATAACTAGAATTAAAAATTTTCTTTAAATTATATATATTCTAACATTATCTATTTCTCAGAAAAATAAAATCTACATACTATAACGTCTTTATAGATGTTTGCATTCTCGTAATAATTATTATAAGTAGTACTAATAAATTATTTATTGAATTATTTTTCAAAACACTAATGCGACGTAAAGTTGTAAGGATAGTTGTATTTCTTTATAAATACGTTTCATGAATTAATTTCACCTCTGCACACCTCTGTTTTATGCATTACTACTACGCTTTGATCGAGAATTTCAGTAATACCAGAATCATGTGATAATAAATGGCAATATGGGTTAAGAACGTTAACTAAAGTGGAGGCAAGTTCGTTCTGCAGCAGAGACCAGAGTCCAGATGGTGCGGTCACTGACCTACCACGTGGTTATCGTTACGCCCATATTGGGGAATAGGGTGAATACGAATATAAATACAAATGAGTGCGATCATTAATTTGAGAAAAAAACGATATGATCAGAATAAATAAGCTCGAAAACCCTACCTACAGGGAATTCCGTGGCAAGCATATAGTAATATGTATATAAAGAGCAAGTAGCAGAATATGTAAGTAGCAAGGCATGGAGTGAAGCATGCTAAACACAAAAAGGCGCAATAAAATCCGCGTAACAAATATAAGAAAACAAACAAACTTAAAAAGCATTGAAACAATATAAGGCTAAAGTGGCGATGGACCTGACAAATTATGAGAAATACTGAAAAATGCACGAATGACCTGAGGGAGACCAGACGCGATGATGATGGCTCGTTATAAGATATTGAGGAAAAATTTGGAGGAGGCCTATATGTGGTTTAAGGAGATATAATTACAGTACCAGATAAGGAACTTACCGCCAGTGCCGAGTACTTTGAGCAGGTCGAAGTGTGATATGTCCACCTTTGAAGCACCGTTAAGATTCACTGTAAAAAAAGGCAGGCATTAGATACTACAACAAAATCCGCTTATAGCAATAAAAAAAGCTATCGTAAAACTAATAGCATGACCGACAATGTTTTATGCTTATCTAACTGTTAAAAAGGAGGAAAGAATTACAGTTTATGCTTTATTGAAACGAGGTTGTAACTATTTAGTTATAACTTAGTTTAGCATAACTTCCATTTATAAAACTGAACTGTAGACAGTTTTCTCTGAAGGATTAAAAAAGTCTGTAGTTAAGAAATATACATTTATATGTTTGTTTTTTTTAACTATTATTATTGCAGCCCAGTAACTTCTATTAAAATGTTTTTAAATGTACCTTGTCTGTTATTAAAAACTTGTTGTTAGCCTTGTATAATAACCTTAATAATTATTGTTTCTTTATTAACAAACACAATATTATACAGATAGAATTTTATAAATGTCACAAAATAAAATTAAAATAAACAAGTATCAGATACCTTCAGAATATAAGTGACGCTTGTATTATTAGGAAATGTGACTTACAATTGGTGAACAAAAGTAAAAAACAAAGTTATTATCTGATAGCATTTACATAATAATTGTATATATATTAGTATTTCAACGACTCGACAATGTCATAGGTTCTTTGAACTCGTGACAAAACTGTGTATTTGTATATTGACAAAGTAGCTTTGTATTACATATTATTTTTATTTAACAAATTATATTCAAAGGTGATGGTTTATATTATATACAGTGAATAGGTGTGGAGTATATAATTACAATCCCTTCAAAAGTTTACTGTAACAGTTTGGAGTCAAAATGCTAAGTTGCTGGTTTCATAAAAATTACAACCTATGTGTTTTAGTGGTATACATCCTTATTTTGAATGCCATGAAAAATTTTGTTACCGTAAAATCATAAGACTGATCAGTTGTCTGATAACATTGATCAAATGTAATATGCCTATTCCCTGCCCAATAATATAAGGGACATGGGATTTCAAATAAGCTATTGTCCTAAATTGTTGCTTATTTATACTTAAAAATTAAAAAACATTGTTTCTAGATTTAAAAACCTGATTGTAGTCAAAATGATAACCTTTATATCGGTCGTCTTTTGTCGTATATCGCGAAAACAAATAGTTTACTTCACACGCATCTATAAATAAATTGTATTTCTTGTAAATAGCTACGTCCATGTCTTTGAATAATGTTAGTACATCGCTTGATTCTTATTATATGACGTACTTTAATACTGATGGAATGAAACTATGACGTTATATATACTAATACATATGCCGATAGGACTTGGTTATTGTTATTTGATGTATGTCAAAGCATTTGAGATCACAATGCTGTTTATTTGATGTAAAATTGGTCTTAACTTAAATGTTCTTAGATCTAATGTTTAAGAAGCTTCTGTTTACCAACTGTGTAAGTTAGTATTAAGTTACTAGAATGGGACAGTAATTAAAAAATATACCTAGTGGATCTATGATTGACATGTTGTTATTTAAGACTTTTTGCTTCTTAAAGAGATATTGAATGAATGAGAATATGAACAAGGAATTGAAGATTTTTGATATCTTTTTTATTTCCTACTAAGCTTGCAAACTTCAGTGTCAGAGGCCAAATATTGAAATAATTGGTAAATCTTAATGGAAAAAATAACAAAGCCTTACTTATGAAATATTGTCCAATTTAGGGATTTTAATCAAATGATAATCTTTTTCAATCATTTATAATGTTTCGTTTAAAGTAATTTTACTTTTGGTGTTTTGTTACCTTTGTTAGTTTAAAAATCCTTGAAATAAAGATGAAATGAATGAATAATTTTACGTGCTCTTTAATTATTAATGTCCTTGAACTTTACAATATTCATGTTTCCTATAATTCTAATAATTGGTTGTGAAAAATGCAAAATGTAAAGAAATCAAAGGTAAATAATATGTATATGTAAATTCTACTAGTGCTAAATAAACAATGTATATCAAATACTGTCTATAGCTTACGCGAGTAGTACACATTTAAATAAAACACTTAAACGGTTTAAAAATTGATATATTAGTTAAACTTACTTTAGTTAGTCTCCCCGTGACCACGACTGCTGCAAAATATCCGAAACATCGGACCGAAGTTAAAAATCATTTTCAAATAAGTTTAACTAATATATCGCGTTTTAAACCGTTAGTGTTTTATTTAAATATAACAAAGCTTCTGCATTGCTACTATCTAGTAGTTGTTTTTTAAGGATCTGATAGTATAATAAAATAAATGACAATTAAAACTTTGGTTTGCTTTGCAGGGCACAAACAATAATTATGAGAAATGTAGTATCTGGTTTTTCCTATGTGGGTATGTGACAAACAAATTTACAGTTGTTACTAAGGTTTTTTACAGACAAGTAGTGGGAACTAGGGGCAGCCCCACCCAACTATTTGTTATGTATCTATTCATTATCTTCTAGGGCCTTTCACACTAAATACAATGCTAGACAGCATGTTAAACAATTAAATTATAGAGCCTGTCATTAACAGTGATTTTATTTTCCTAGATAATAATATTTATGACCAATGATTATACATATTTAATTCTGTATACATACTAATATTATAAAACTGATGAGTTTGTTTGAATGTATTAATCTCAGGAACTTTTGGTTTGAATTAAAAAATATTTTTAGTTGGAGCATTTATCTAAAAAGGCTTTAGGGTATAAAATAACAGGCTGTAAACAATTAGAGCAAAGAAAAAGTGGGAAACGTGAGAGTAAGGAAAAAAACTGGAAAAATGTGTCACCTTTCAGGCTTTCCATTGCTGTGAGAAATAAAACACAAAAATATATGTTGAAGAATGATTCCTTTTTAAATAATCTAAAAAATTGTTTGTGACAGTATATGTTTATCTTTTTCATGATTAACTCACAAGAACCAATTTTAAAGTAAAATTCTCTCAAACATAAGATTTGAGAATTAAATATGTACTACTTTCTGGTTTATATTAAACTATGTTGTGTATTCGAGTGAAAGAGTCACTGGTAGTTTTTGATAATTTGGCTGTTATTAATTTATGTAATTGCGATTTATCGCAGCCAATCTATGTTGTAAGTGCTAATTGCTGGAAACTCTCACCTCATTACTCCTACAACTCCCACTATCCTATTCCAAAAGGCAAAGAAGAAAGTTTTATTGTTCTAGGATGTCGACAACAACGACTTTCCACAACAGATGAAGATGAACAGCTTAAACGATATAAATATTAAGCTGTAGACTTGAGTTGTGTGTTTGAACATTTACACATTTGTTATTTTTAATTAAAAAGAATTTTGTATCTCATAACCAATTTTTGTTACATAAGTTTTTCTTCATAGCCCTCTATAAATTCAAATATCTTATTCCTTAAGCATACAATTTAATATATGTAAAGTGAGTATTTTATAAAATTTATCATCACTTCCTACATTGATAAATAGATTAGTAACACTATGTAGTATGTTTACCGAAAAGTTTTTATAAATATTATGATAATATAATCTGACGAAACTATTTTATACAATTAATATAAAGATTTGAAGACTTGTGATGATGTTGGGGTTTCATGGTGTCAGAGTTGAAAGATTTATAACTTTATTTCATAGTAACCATTAGTAATAGCTCTAGTATGTTCACACAGCTTTAAAAAGCTTTAATTACATAATTAGAATATAGTTAACTCAACCTATTAATGTCTAGCAAATTACATATGTTAAATACTGTCTATAGTTTACGCGAGTAGTACACATTTGAATAAAACACTTTAACGGTTTAAAACGTGATATATTAGTTAAACTTGTTGTCAAATAAGTTTAACTAATGTATAATAATATATACATATGTTGTCTAGTAACAGCCATTTTGCATTTATACAAGTTGTTGCTATTTTGTATTGAGCTCAGGCATTTTATCCAAGAGACAATTTAAGAAGCTAATAATATGGTGCATGAAAACTTATTGTCTCTGAGTCAGAAAAGGAGTACATAAATTAATACTAAGAGAATATAAAAGCTGAAACATTTTTAATTTATAAAATATAACTAATTACCTTTAATCTTTTTCCTAATTTTGCTAGCCTCCACCAAATTCCAGTCTATGGAATCCCTCACTGGCTGAGGTACATTTCCACCTATTAGTTCAACAGAACTACTCCGTTTACTTGGACCTGGTTCTGGTGCCACCTCCTCGACTTTTTCATTTACTTTTACATCAACAATATCAACACTCTTGTCTTTTAGATTACTGTGACCGTTCACTTGTTCGACCTTTAACTTTTTACATGGTGCCTTTTTGTGCTTATGAGCACTATGCCTTCGTTTTAATTTGGCTGAATTTGAAGAATTCCTCGAGCTTATCGGCGAAGGACAACCACACTCCATACTACCTTCTT